TTTAACAAAATGATTAGATTAACTTTCCATCAATTTAAAGAGCACTTTTACTTCATGAAAATGACTTATTCATCACAAGTATCTTCATAAAAAATAAAAAACCTGTTTTCTGAACCTTTCACTTGGTCATTCGAAAGTTCAAACTGTACCAATAAATTTATAGTGAGGTGCATGAACTTTTTTTATAAAAAATTTTATTATTAAAAAATATTTTGATTAAAAAATTATTTTATATAACGGTTTTTAACATAAATTTTTTATTGAATAATTTTAAAGAATTAAAATAAAATCGAGAAATATTATCTTTTTCCGGCATATATATTTTCCAAGATAACAAGAAGTTATGGAAGAGAATTTTTTATTGCATTTATTTTGTCTCGTAAAACATCAACCTCCTCAACTGATCATAATCATTGTGAATTACATGTTCTCTGAAAGAGAATGCTGATAATAACACTTTTTGCATCGACGTACATGTATTTTTTTCTTTTTATATTTCAACCATGCGAAACTAATCGCCTCATTTTACGCCGCATGAAACTGAACGCCTCCATGATCGCGGGAAAAATTATAGCTACCGTCTGATTTAATATTCCTTTAATTAAGATGTGTTCCTTATACAAAATAAATAAAAGAGAGAAAAAAATAGGAAGAATACGAAAATATTATATAGCATTTATATAACGCGATATAAAAATGTAATGAATAAAATAAAAAATATAATATATCGCACGTTGATATAAAAAGAACGAATGTCGATCAAGTAACACGTGAAATCGTGCCCGAAATTCATTTTCAGTGCTTAACCGGTTTTCTCGGAATGCGAAAGCGATTCCCACTTCCGTGTCTTCGTTTAAAAGATAAAAAAATTATTCATGAAAGTTTATGTGAACAGAACAACGACATACTAGGTAGGATCAATTTAGTTGCTCTGTACAATAGAACGAATCTGCTTTCACGCGATTTACGATCATCATATGTACGCAAAACGATATGTCGTTAGAAGATGAGCGTTTCAATGCGATTTCGAAGCGAAAAATTACCAGTATACAGGAAAGGACATTTTCCACGAATACCTTTCACCTCATTTTTCACCCTGCTTTCACGATCTTTTATGTCCTCCGTGCATATTACTATCATGCATTTACATTTTCGATCGTAAATTTTAGTTAAGTCAAAATAAAATATTATTTGATCAAATTAAATTTTTATAAAAAATGAGAAATTTAATGTGTTTTAAAAAAAAATTCTATTTATTAAAATCTATAATGAATTGTTTAAATAAATTTAATCTTTTATCGGAATTATTTAATTCTTAAAATGTTAAAATTATTGCTCGATTCATCAAATATTATTTAAATAATAAGAAACATAATCAATTATGTTTATTTTTATGTTTATCTTAATTATATTTATCTATGTTTGCTTAAAAACTATTTAAATATTCTTAATGAATAGAATTTTTAGAACAAAATAACATATGGAACATTGAATCGTGCAACATATGGAAGGCGAAATCGTATATTTATGAGGATATTAACAGAGGAATCAAAGAAATTTGTCTTTTTATTCTTCTGAAAAAAAATTTTGTATGGTGTTAACAACATAGTATCAAATATCAAATGTTTAATTGCATTTTGACATTTAACGGAGATTAATTTTTCCGTTTTTTTAACAATCAAAAATAAACATGTTCGCTGAAGTTTATTTCTGCTCATCACGAAAACCGTATGGCATTTATTGTAGCTTATAAAACAGTGCGCATTAAAAACATAAAAGCATTGAGAGAATATCTTAGATATCCGTGAACGGTAAAAAGCGTTTTTCTTTATATTTAGTAGTTTAATATTACCCATTTTAAAATAATATTTATTTTATTTATTTTATAAAATAATATTTTGTTGTAAAAATTTATATTATATAAAAGTTTTAAAATATTTAAAAAAAAAGTAAAAAAATAAAAAACAAAATTGTAATTTCATCATATATCATTCATCATGTTTGAGATTTAAAATTTTATATTTCATTTCCTGGTTTTAAAAAATTTATATTTAATATAATCTTCACTTATTATTTAATTTATTAAAAATTTTATAAATATGATAATTTTAAAATTAAAATAATAATAGAATAATTATTACTATTTTTTCCAGGAAAAGAAGAAGAATTTAACTGAATGAACAAGTAAAATGCATCAATGCATGAATAATAAGTTTCGTGATTTATGTTCGGAAATCTCATAAGAAGATGAATTTATTAGTCATGAAAAATACTTTTTCAGGGATTTCACATACAATATATAGAAATTATGCACTGAATAATTCATTAAGATTTAATGATAAAGATTTACTGATAAGAGTTGAAGTTTCTATATCTCTACTTTCATGGAAGAGAAATATCAATATCCTATCAAATCATGCTACAATAATCAATCTTTTTATTTTCTTTGAAAATCATAATACATATATAAATATATTTCATAATTATGACAATAAAAAATTAGAACTTTTTATATTATATTTATTACATTATATTATATTTTTATATTTTGATATTATAACATTCGATAAAAAGAATTTAATTGTAATTTAATTGTAATTTAAATGTAAAAATGTAATTTAAATGAATGAATAATATTGAACAATGTTTAAGTGAAACAAATAAAACATTAAAATTTTCATACAGCAATTTCAACTAATTGTAAGCAAGAATATCGTCGACAGCAAGGTATATGACAAGAATTCAAGCGAAAGATTTATCTCCAATCTTTTCCATGAATGTTTTTTTCTTTTATCTGTAAAGAGCTATGATTCTTTGCAAACTCTCACGCGCAAATGCAATTACACTGTTCCGGTGCTCGAAAGCAATAGGCCAACCATCATGCGCGAGCAAAAGTGGATAACTGTACCAAAGAAGCCGGTTGCAAAAGTTGTCAGAATAAAAACAAGTTTCTTAAGTTGCATTCTCTAACAACGGTAACACGGTAATGTGTAACAAGCTGTCAGAAGGCCAATAACCACAGCGCCATATGTTGGATAAATTGATATAACTTTTGTGATTAATGATATTGGCGATCACATCATGGAAGCGAAGTGGAACGAGAAAGTAAAGGATCGTCAGAAGACAAAACGAGCCTCTGCCCGTATGTAATATCCAGAGAGTTTGTACAAAAGACGAACATCTTCTCCACTTTCTTTTCCATGAAACGAAATGCGCGACGATCATTCAGGCTCGAGCAGCCATTAATGACATACGATAGAGAAATTTATTCGTCATACGAGAAATTTATCGAGATTTGTCCTTGAACTTTGAGATTTAAAATTTTTCTCATGTTAATATTATTATTGGATTATTTCAAATGAAATGAAAAATATTTTCTAAAATTTTTTGTTTCAAATATATAAATGTTATATATAATTTTTCATTTCAAATTACAAGTAAAAAAAAAATCGCAAAATAAATTTTCTAAATTCAAGAAAATGAAATTCATCCATCTCAAAAATATAATTGTAATTCTTCTTTTATATCGCATATAATTTTAATTATTCGTTCGTTTTCACGTTCTCAATCTTATCTCGATAAATTATCATTCTGTATTCAGAGAAATATAATATTAAATAGGAAATCTTGTTTCTTTCAATTTATATACAAAATAATCTTCATCAAAATTATCCCGTGTAAAAATCTGTATACAATATCAGTATATTTATCCTATAATTATATTTTATCAGTTTATGACTTCTTCATGTGAAAAACTATATTTTATGATCAGAGATCCATGATACTGATTATATATACTTATACCATGAAAGAGAGGGCAGTATGGTATAAAAACAGCGAAAGTTGAAACAACTGTCTATTCATTATAACAGTTAGTGATAAAAAATAATGGAACTGTGAGATCCATAAGATTGTGAGAATTGTTCGTCGAGAACGTATCTCTTGAATAAAATCCTTGTCATGGTGAAAACTCGATGTTTCGAGGTAAAAATAGATATGCAACATCGAGCAACTTTGATTCTTAAATAACGATAAGAAAATAATATGTATCCCAGTTTATTAGGGTCAACGAACTTTGTCACAGATTAATTAAAAAAGTTTTTAATTAGCAATTAAAAAATGAATGATTGTTAACTACGTAATGTAAAATTGGCATAATAATATGGAGCATGATATAATCGTATTGTAAGCAATAATTATATAAATCAATTAAAAACGTTATAAAATATATGTATCGTATCTTTTAATTATAATTAAAACAAAAATTCTTCAAATTGTAAATAAAAAAAACCGCAAAATAAATTTTCTAAATTCAAGAAAATGAAATTCATCCATCTCAAATATATAAAATATTCATTGGATCATTATTCATTTTAGGTTATTCTATTTTAAATTAATTCATTAAAATAGATCTTAAAATTCAAGAAAATAAAATTCATTCATCTCAAGAAATAATTGTAACTCTTGAAAATATAAAAAATTACCATTAAGCTCCCCTTTTATCAACTAAAAATTAATCAATTCGAGCATTAAATGCTATTCACATCTTCACCCTAGATCCTATCCAATACTCTGCCAATTACAGTACCGTTAACTAGTGATACGAATTAGATATCAGTATCGAAAACATCCTGTAGGAATATCGGTGAATGGATATATCGCTAATAAAGAACACTTTGCACGTATCGAAAAGACGGAGGCGCGTACTCGCGCGATCTACCGCTAACCGTTTCTTTTGGTCGCCGACACGATACCGTACGACGACGAACAAACGACTTGCATACAAATTCATGAAGTTTTCTTTTAACAAACGAAACTATGCCGCATATTTAAATGTTGCACCATTTGTACTCGAGCAACCTTCGCAGACGGATGATCTCACCAGATGCATCTTCCACTCGACGGATCATCGAAAAGATCATTAACGACTTTTCTCTGTCTTAAAAGTATCGCTGAGCAAATATGATTCCATTAACAGAACAGAATACGAACTCTCTCACCCTTTTTATCCTTTACCGAAGTGGTAGAAACAGTTGAAGCTTCTTCCGGAACGTCCACAGCTCGTTCCTCTTTCCCAGATACGATCTCATCGATATCTCCCTTGAATTCATCCTCCTTCGACTTGAGCTCTTCGTCGTTCTTGCTATAATCAATGATAACTTGATCGTCCACTTTCTTCCAATCGGACAATTCCTTGCTTTCTTCCGTCTCCACAGCAAATTCTTCGAGACCGGGGATATTTCGAATATCAGGCACCAGAGTTTCCTCGTCGTCCTCTCTTATTCGCCATTTCGCTCGTTGATGGTATTCAGTGACCCCGTTGTTCCCACTCGCGGCGATTTCACTGACAGAATCGACCACTTCTTCGACCAATTCCTCCTCCTGAAGCATGTACTCTCTTCTTTCGTTCGGATTTTGATAAACTCGATAAGGCCCGACCAGACCGACGATCCCTCGAGGCACGGCCACGGCTCCCTTCCAATCTTCCATCTGATCAAACTTCCCCAATTGGTTCGTATACATTTCTCTGAAACTGAAAAGTCGTCTTGGTTCCGGTAATCGTGTCGATGCAACCTGTAACCACCGTCGAAGCTCCTCTTGTCGCGAACAGATCTGTATTTGCCTCTCACCCGATGATTGTTCTTTGATGGGTTGAAGTTTACTCTCGAGAAAACCTGTATCGGGTAACTGAACCTTCTTGGGTTTCTTTACCACGCTATAAAGAGGATCCTCATCTTCTGCCTCGAGAATCGTCGAGTTTTCATACGTTAGTTCATTCACTGTCGGCAGCCAAACATTCGGAACTTTCTTCTGTTCGATTCGAGCTATTTCCAAATCGTTTCCTCTCGTTTTATCACTTTTCACAGCGGTTATCACGACTACGTTCCTCTTCTGACCAAATAATATATTGTTATCAATTGATCTATCGTTGATATCTAGAACGCTATAGGTCGGTTCACGAATAGCTGTTTGAATCCACTTCGGTCTAGTTTTTTGCTTGATAGAAGATATAAATTGTTCCGGATCAGCTGTTAGTCTCTTCCGTTCTACGTTTGCGACGGGAATGTCAGTCAATTCGGCCACCATGATCAAGTATTTCGATTACGATCTAGGTGATCTGGCTTACCGGATGTCACGATCAGATCGTGACGAACATATTCGAAGGGTCGATTAAGGATCTTGAAAGATCGAAATATTTGGGTGCGACTTAAATACGCCGATATTTGATACGCAACTGGTATATTTATTAATTTGTAAAATAATTATGTCTTAGCTTCTTGGCTTTAAATGATGAGTGAAATCATTTTAGTAATTTGAAAATATATAAATTCGAACTATCCATACATGGGAGAGAAAATTAAATCCATATCATAATTTCAATTATTTAAATCCTAAATGATTAATATATACGAATCGACAATTATTTATTTAATATAAATGCAATTTTAATAATTTTATAATATATAAATATCGTACTTGACACTTGCACTAAACTAAATCACCAATTAAAAAACTGTGTAATTGTAAACTATATGTCAAATCTGTTGAAAGAATTCGAATAAAATAATTTCTCCAAATCGATTCCACTTTGAATTCGATGAAAACAAAATGCTTGAGAAACAAGTGCTAATAAATATTTTTATATTTTTGTATTATCGTAAAATGTATACATTTCGAAAATCCCGTCAATAAGTGTATTCGATCGACTACAAAAGGTAAATGTCGTTTCTTGGCTTTAGTTTTACCAGAAACAATGTTTCGTCGCGTGGAGGTGGCTAGAGGTTGATCATATGGATTTGGTTCTCGTTCGTGACCAGGATTACGAAAAAGGTTTCACATCCTTCCTTAGATAGTTTTTACCTTTTTCATTATCTAGGTTAAGAGATTCTCCTTCAAACGTGATCATGTTGACGCAACATCTCGTTAATCAAATTCTTTATGGTTACGCGTCATTATCAAGATAGAATCGGCTCTTTCACCGAAAAATTATTTTAATCAAATTTCTAGAGAAACGAACAGCAAGTTCAAGATATCCATTCATTAAATATAATAGAAAAGAAAGAATAATGAAAATATAAAATAAACATAATGAATTATCAATATATCCATAAATTAATTATGAAAAAGATATAAATATTTTAATTTATTTTAATTTTTTCGCAAACATAATTCTTTTTTATATTAAAAATAGTTACATTAAAAATTATATTAAAAATTAGAATTAGGAACATAAAGTACTTTTTTTAAAAATCAAATCATTCTATACTCTATATGTGTATGTTTATTTTCATAAATCAAATGTCTTATTATGTTTCTTTTTAATTCTGTATTTCAACTTTCATATACAAACAATTTTATATATATAAATTTATATAGTCATAAATTTATAAAACGAATAAATTTCTACTATAAATATCAAATTAATAGAATTAATAGAATATTTTCGTCCTAATTACAATCAAGTCTTACAATTAGTTACGACTATACAATTAGTTACGATTATATTTTCAATATCTCTTCAATTGCAGCGACATACATTAGTGCCTTGTTTTACTATGGAAAAACAACTGTTGTAAGAAAATTGTGAACAGCGAGAAGACCGTTAACCTCAAGGACCGATTATCGTAAAATGGAAAGATGGATTTATCGCGTGAGAATCATAAGTTTTGAACAACGTGACTGGAAATATCGAGATCTTTTATTCACGATTTGCGAGAAAGAAAGAGATAAGCTTCGAACAGGTGTTAGAGGTCGAAGCATTTTGCTCGATAATAACTGACTAGCTATACCGATGTTACAACGGCAGATTCTTCCGCGTTTTGCTTTAGGCGAGCATACTTGTTGGTAATAGCTGGACAGTAGTATACCGCTATAAAAATTGATAAATGTCAGCCTTTGTAGAAACTCATGTATCATTGCTGTAAGCTACTCAGAGCATTCGATAAATTCCAATGAATTTAGAACAAAGATGAAAAATATGAGAATGAAATAGGATAATTTTTTTATATAGTAGATAATTATAAAATCTATATTAAAATAAAATCTATATTATTGTAAATTTTGTTAGATAAATATGAGATTCTTTTTTATAGACAATGTTAATAAAGAGCCTTAGAATGGTATTAGAATACATTAAAAAATGTAGCATTTGAAAATCTTGATTATTGAAAAGAATGGGAAACATGTAGAATTGAAAAATATATTATTATAATTATAATAAAAAACTGTTGATAATATTACTAATCATCAATCAAATTTTTACTAATTTTCAATGATTTTTCAATAAAATGTAATAAAATATTGTACAAAAGATACATCAACTCTTCACATCATCATTACAAAGAACATATTATGATGGCTTAAAAGTTCAAAGAACTATAGTTATATTTTAATATTATCTTGAGAGACGTGCGATTCTTAAAACTCGCAATACAGTTATAGGTTGTATATTACAAAGTCATATGGTACTGTTATTTCAAAAACTAAGCATGTCTTGAGTTTATTCAATACAATTTATTTAAACTTATATTCTAGTAATCATAAGTTTACAATATTATTTATTTTATTAATTATTTTTAATTATTTTATATTTTCACAAAAATAATTATACTGCTACAATTATATTGTAACTTACTGTAAATTTTATACACAAAATTAGAATATAGTTAAAGTTATTTAAAGAAATTGAACGTGTATAATTCAATTAAAATTATGATTTAATCATATCATGTGTCCACATTAAAAATCATAGCATGACGGTGAACCTAGATCCGCTCTGTTAAAGTCAGTAATTGTTATTCTCGTTTTCTATTCGGTAACAAAAGCTTTTTTAAACTCGATGTTCATCATGAGATTTCTCTCTTCCTTTACTTTTCTTTTTTAATCATATTTCAATATAAAATTAAAAAAATAATTACAATATAAAATTAAAAAAATATTTACAGTATTTATTAAGATTTATTTAAAATTGTTTAAACAAGTTGTTATTAATGTTGTTTAAAAATAAATGTAATAATTCAAAAAATTATATTTAATATCTATCCTTCGAATAAATACTATATGCATATAAATAATATACATATATCCTATATAAATAAATATTATATGCATATACCTATTTCAAATAAGAGTAATATAATATGATAAGTAAAATAAGATATGAAATAATAATATAATAAGATATGAAAGTAACATTTGGATGAAAACTTAAAAAAAAAAATAAGAATATAATAAAAAAACAGATTAATGGTTCAAAATAAAATAAAATTACAATATAATAAATCATATGTATAGAAGAATAAACGAATTTTTTAATTTCTATCGCCTTAGTAATGATCAAAATACAAACTAAATATAAAAAAGATTTTCAGAAAATTCTAGAGATCTAACTATTCTTCTTTTAAAAATAACATCTTAATATTAAACTTTTATTAACAATTATCAATGTTTACTTTTTTAATGTATGATTAAAAGAAAAATTAATGATATTATTAACTGATGAATCATTATTAATAATATTAAAAAACCTATTAAAAACTATTAAAAACCAATAAAAAATTAGAAAAAAATAAGGAATGCATTTTATTATTTATTATTACTGATATAAAAATAAAATATAATTATAATTATATAATTATATATATATATATATATAATTATATATATTATAATAAAACAGAATAATAAAAGATTAAATAAAAACATTTTTTTTAATATGCTATATAACAAATATTTTCGCAATAAATTATATCTAGAAAACATGTAGAAAAGAAGTATTAATTCAATTTTTCTTTACTTTTTCAATTGGTTTCAAGATCAATCAAATTACATTAAAATTAATATAAATTAATATAAATTAATATAAATACTATTAATTGTAATATTAATACAATTTGTATATATAATACAATATTATATGATCACATAATATTATAATATAATCTTAATTTTATAAAAAATAAATTATAAATTTTAATATTATAATTAAAATTTTTATATCTCAAAGGAAAAGATTATTTTTTAATTCTTGTTAAAAAGAGAGAACTTCATTTATTATTAATAAATTATTAATTTTAGTTCAAAACAAACAAAAAATTTATCAATATATCTATTGTTTCAATACGTTGATTCAATAATGATCAATCAATCGCGCATGAATAAACAGATATTCTGAAAATAAGAATCTGAGAAAAAAACGACAAACAAATAATATATAATAAGTAAAATTCACTTTAAAGCAATCATTTTCCCTTCCGTGGAAAAGAAAAGGGAAAGTGTGCATGTTTTGGAACAAGAAACTACTTTGCCGAACATGAGTAACATATAAAAAAAATCAAAAAAAATATAAAATCAATTTTTATGCATATGATCCTCTGAAATATGCTCTGATGAAGATAATTTTCATAAAAACAATAAATCGAATATATTCTAAAATATAAATTGACAAATAATTTCTATCAAATCAATTATTATTTTAAGTGATATTCTATATACATATTAATTATATTGTTTTTATTAATGTATTATTATTAATAAAACATAAATTATATATTGCACTATAATAAAATTCTAATGAAATATTTTCTTCATAAACTCACTTGATTTTCCGGAGTTACATTCTTGAATGGGTTGAAGAGTTCGTGGCATCATTAAATTAAATTTTTCGTCTTTTTTATACAACTGAATAATAATTCACAAACACTTGTATTCATAAAATCTATCATGAAGACGTTCAAATTAATCGATGTTCATCCGGATCGATTGAAACAAATTTTCTGTCAGGATCACTTGACTTTTGTCATTCCGATGATTATCACAAAACGTCACATTTTTCTTAAAATTTTTGCAATTATCTTCATTTTATATAACTCAAGTTTAATTTTTCATTAGAAATTTTTAAATTTGCTTATATAAATTTATAACTTATTATAAATTTTATGACTATATAATTCATTGATTATTTCGGTATAAAAGAATTTTAATTTTAATTATCCATCGCCATATTATAAACATAAATTATAAATATTGAAAAGTTAAATTGATTTATATCACTGATGCACGTGCATTCTTTATCAGAAATCACGTGTCAGACTAGTTTGCAATCCGCAAGTTGCGAAAGATCTACCGATCTCCAAGACTGACTTCCAATCTCTGAAATACGAATGGTTAACTTTCGGAAAAATGGCGGCACTCGTAAACGCTCTGTGATCACGAGTATCACTTACACTAAACTACGATATCAAAATGAACCGAGTAAACGAATGAACCTAGAACTTAGTTATGATTTCAAGTAGAAGAAGTGTGCTACATATTTATTTGATTTCAACACGTTTCTTTTCTATGACTTCAGAAAAAAAATATAGATGTGTATGTTGAATATGAATATAAGTGATATATAGCATTGTATGAAATTCATGTTTGGATTTTTATCTTTTCTTTTATGATAAAATAAGAAACAAAAAATTGGAAGTGCAAGAGAGAAAGTTGAACAATGATTATGATACAAGATTTCAGCACTTTCGTTTCATTTGAAATTTAAAACTTATTGTTCTCATAAACTTTGTATATTTTATAATTTATTTCTTAATATAAGAAATAAAATATATTTTAAAAATATATTTCTTTTTTCGAATATAATAAAAAAATATAAAAATAATAGTTATGTATTCAATGAAAAACAAAAAATTTAATGTATAAAAATTAAAAATCTTTTTATATATAAAATATTACTTTTTTTTTGATTTTTTTTAAAATGTATCTAATGCATTTTTAATCACAATAATTTTCTGTATAAAATCTTGTATTTTTATTGACAAGTCATAAAACGATATTTAAATAATATTTCTTACATTACTGATCCAGAAGAAGTATAAATACATATTATAAAGCTTATTTTTAATTATTGTAATAAATTTAAAATATATTAATAATAAATGATTTATAAGATTAAAACTATTTCATATATACTTCATAATACTTTTACTGTATTTTTTATTTACTAAATGAACATACTTTCATTATGCTTAAGAAATTAATTGTTGTTCAATATTGGATAGAAATAAGAATTATTTGTACATTCAAAACATTGATCATACAAGAAAAAGGAAATAAATGAAATTATGTTGTAAACTTAAATATTTACAAAGCTAAATTTTTACATTAAGATCAGTCTTATTTACCCCTGATCTTGTAATGTTCAATGTTGATTCTTCAATGAAATATATTTTAAAGAAATTAATTGTGATCTTTTCTTAAGATACATCTTGAGAAGGCATTATTTCATCAAATGATCCGATAATATTTCATTGTCACTTTTTTTTAGAACCAAAACCTGAGAAACCCATTATTGCTGCCATTTCATCTGAAGGTCCTCCATTATCTTCATTGACTTCTTCAATTTTTCTTTTCTTGTCTTTTCTTTTCTCTTTTCTATATTCTTTAATTTTCTCCTCCTATGAATAAAAGATATATAATATAATAATAAAATAAATAAATATATTTTTAAATAAAATATATTTGAAAATCTGAAAATAAAACCTCTTCTTTTAATTCTTTTACTCTTTGTTCTAAGTCGTAATCTTTCTTTTTTTCTTCCAATTTCTTTTTATTCATTGCAAAGCGAGCTTTAACCTGTTCTAATGTAGATCTTTCTATTTTCATTGACATACCCAAATTACGTTGATCTGAAAAAATTCATCTATGAAGTTAATATTTAGTCATACAAAAAAACATAACATGCAAAAACAATAAAAATAATAAATAATAATTGATTACGTTTGGTGCCATTGATGTGATCTAAGAAATTAATTGAATCCTTGACAACACAATCACAAACATTACAATAATACCTATAAATATAATAATATTATATAAATTACAAATTATATCTATTTTAATTAATTTTTAGAAAATGATTTAAAACTTTTTACCCTCCAGTTTGTGATGATGGAGTATTTTTATTAATAACAACACTTTTTCCTAATTTAGATTCAAGATCAACTTTGTAATCTCTTTGTTTGAGCAATTCTCTTTTTACTGCTGGTTGTTTTGGAATTCCCAATTCTTCTTCTGCAATTTCATCCTGCAGACGTTGAAGTGCTATTCTTTCATATTCTTCTCTGTTCCATTTGCGTCTATGGTCATCAGGTCGCTAAAAAATAAATAATATTATATTATTTAAATTAATTTTAACAATTTTTTTTATTTAAATATAATCCAATTAGTATTTTATATATCAATTTATCTTTACATTTTTTGATATATATTTTTTGATATATATATTAGTTATATATATTAAAAATTATAATTATGATTTAATTTTTCTATTTTCTAAATTCTATTCTTTTTTTTTTTTTTACTTTTAATTTAATATTATCACTTTATTTTTATTTTTATTACTTTAATGCATATGTAAAATCAGGTTATAAAATATGTCAAATGATAATTTTATCAAAATTATATAAATTATCTTGATATATATAAAAACATGATGAAGTTTTTAATACAAAATCTTATATAAATAAAAATTGTAAAAATTCTTACCATAGACATTTTTGAAATTCTTGGAGTTAATCAAATCTATTACGCATAAAAAAATAAACTGTTTCCCCCTCTTCTTTTTACTTTGCCTAAGCCATGCTCTTATTTTGGATAGTGGTTGTAATTATGACGATCTTAAATATAATTTTATTTTTTCAAAAATCTTTATAATTTTCTTCGGAATAAATATAAAATTAGAAAATTTATAATTTTTTTTTTAATTATATTTCTTAATTTTTTTTTAATAATAATACAATTTAATAATACAATTATTATATTGCATATCATGAAATTCATAATTTAATAAATTTATATTTATAATCAAGTTATTTTATATTAAATATTAAAATTTAATATTTTTAAATAATAAAATTTTATAATTATTTTTGCATAATTTATAAATAAAAAAATATTACATATTTCAATAAAATATTAAGATACATACCAATCGAAAATTTGTGTTTAATTTTAAAAATATAATTATATAAAATGTATGTAAAATAATTTTTTATACAAAATAATAAAGAATGAAAAAAAAAAATAAAACATTTTTAAAATTAATTTTATTTGCCAAAATATATTTATATAATACTTTTGTATATTATCAATATTAGAAATATATTTAAAAAAAAACAAAGTGTTCCAAAAATATTGGAATATTCTTAAATTGGAGATTCCTGAGGTAATTTCAAACAACATTTTTCTTTCCAAAAATTTTCATTATAACTTTTTTAACGAGTTATTAATAAAAAATATTGGCCAATCACGTGTAATCTAGTCGATCCGTAACAGTAGCATTACCTGCCAACAAATAAATCTGAACAATATATCTCAAAAAAAGTGTGTTGAATGTAACAAATATTTTTTTATCGATAAAGAATTATATCATACGAATAAATAAATAAATAAATAAATAAATATATATTTGTATATTTTTTTAATAATTAAATTTTAATGAATAATTTAATTAGTTAATATCTAAATCTTCCTTAAATCTCTGTGTAGAATAGTGTGAATATTTATATATTTTAATAAAATTAATTATAATTAATAAAATTTAGCTTTTTTATTAATTCTTTAAAACAAAATTATTTTATAAAATACAATTAACATAAAATATAATTAAAAAATACAATAAATAAATTCCTTGATATCACTTTATATGATAAATATGCAATATAATTTTTTTTTATACAATAATCATTATTAGATTTTATAAATTTAATTAATTGAATAAAAATACATTTTTTTTTTAATATATAATAATTATAGAAATTATAATATATTCAATTAATGAAACTACATATATATATATATATATATATATATATATATAATTAAATCTAAACTTAAATTCTAAACAAATTTTACATTTTTAATATTATAATTTTTCTTCTAATAAAATTCTGAATAAAAATTAATCATAGAATTTCAGAAAATTTGAGATTGATAAATATTATTTTCTGATAAACTATTTTTTAAATAAATTTTAATTTTAAATTATAGTTTTTATTCCAATAAATCTGATGGTACATTATCTGGTAATTTAACCCCATATATTGTTCTTATATAAGATGCTATTTTGCAACCATATTCTAAACAATGTTTTGGTTTCCAACGAGCTAAAACACCTGCTAGAAAACCAGCAGCCAAAGCATCATCAGCATCTATTGTATCAATAACAGGAATTTTTGGTTTAATTGGGAGTACCTAAATAAACAAATTTTTATTCAAGCTTTTCATTTAAAAAATTGATTTTTTTTTTTATTTTTAACATACTTGAGCAGATTGACTTTTTCCCCAAACAGCAATTGTTGGAGCAGATGTACCTTGAGTCATAACAAATACTCCCCCATGACGTAACCAATCTTTTTTGACTGTATTACAAACATTAATTGTAATTCTTTTTAAACTATTTAATAAAAATGGTATATCTGATACATCATCATATGTAAGATTTAATGATTGAGCCAAAGCTTCCATTTCTTTTGAATTACCAAATACAATATTTGAATGTCCTATCATTTCGCAAACTGCTGTACGAAAATCCTATAAGAGATAATATGTTAATAACGAATATATATATTTTATACATATGTTAGCACTATAAATATAATAATCTCGTTTTTTCATTAATTAATTGACATTATTAATCAAATTCTAGAATATTTATTTACATTAAATATATATGTCCCACTTATATTAAAAGCTATAATTATATCTCTTTCTTCTGCTTGTTTAACAAGTTCTTTTATTACAGAAAAATTATGAAGTATGAAAAATCCTTCAATATATATTATTTTTATTCTATCAAATGATAAATTGCATGTTTTAAGATCATTTAAAGTATATTTAGCAGCAGCTCCTACATTTGCAACAAGACTACGATATGGTTCACTTATCAATACTATACATTGTCCTGTACTTAAATTTGAATGAATTGTATATCTGCAAAAATATATATATTTAAAAATATATATTATAATGAAAATAAAATAAAGCAAAGAAAGCAAAGAATTTAAAGCATCTGCAAACCTAGCATCCACACCTGCTGACTGAACTAAACTTTGTAACATTATTCCTTTACAATCATTACCAATCGCTCCAGAAAAAATACAATATCGATTTTGAAAAGTTTCATCATAAAGCCATTGTATAATTCGCATTGTATTTTGTGCTGATCCTCCAGGATAAACTATCTGTTTTGATCTATTTCATTATATTATTAATAATCTCTAAGTTTTAAATAAGTTTTTTATATAATAACAAAAATGTAATATTTTTAATAAATATTAAAATAATTTAATTTACATTATATATTTTTTATATATATAAAATAGTAATAACGAATATTATTTTCTGATAAACTATTTTTTAAATAAATTATAATTTTAAATTATATACTTAAATATACTTATGTTTATTTAAAATTATGAAAAAAAAATATTTATACAAAATATAAAAATGTAACAATTATTAATAAATATACTTATTAACTCTTGCGGTATATCTGCCAATAATTCTTGCATTTTATCTTCAGAAAATTCTGCTTTTCCATCTATATTAAGATTATATTTTTTTAATAAATCATTATCTTTTATTTTTACAAACATATCTAATAAAGGATTGCCAAAAGCAATAATTGCAGGAGCATTAAGATTTTTAATAGATTCTCTTAATGGTTTATCTTTTTCAACCATTTTTATTAATAAGTTTATAAGTTTTTTATATTACATTTATGAACAAGTTTTTTTGTGTTCAAAAAATTTTTAAATTTTATCTGTAACACATCGAATATGATTATTAAATACATAAATTATTGTTTAATTTTTCTTATTTCTTATTTATTTCTAAAAATAGTAATAAAAAAGTAACTATAATATTTATCTTTATTGTTTGAAGATATAAATAAATTTAAAACATTTTTTTCATATTGTATTAATATTTTAATATACTTTTAAAATTATTCATTTTTGTTATAACAAAAAATAATAAAAAAAATGAATGTATCTTATATTTTTGTTTTCAAAATTGGCATAAAGGTTACTTTACAAAGTAGTTTTACAAAAATATAATTGTTATTTTTTATTAAATATATAATAATAAATTTTTATAATTATTTGCATTCATATTTATATGATTATGGTACTTATATTTTAGTAGAAATATATACAAATTATTATTATATTATTCTATTTTGATATGAATTAGCATGTTTTTATATAATTTTATATATATAATACATTATTATGTTATATTTTGTTATATAAAATATATATTTAAGAATTTTTTTGTTACTTATTTTTTTTACGATAATTAAAAATTATCATTATTATATATTAATAATTTATCATATGTGTGTATTAAAGTTACAAAATGGATGCGCACGTTGTAATTTGAATATAAGTAACATAACCATTGTGTATATGATATCTATATATTTTTAAATACAAATTAAATAAAAGAAATAAGTGAATTCTATATTTTAAAGATGGTTCGTAAAAAAATAGATAATCGTATTCGTATTTTAATTGAAAATGGTGTTATTACGGGATATAGAACAATGTTTATTATTATTGGTGAAAAAGCACGAGATCAGGTTTGATTATATATAATTTAATTGCAATTTAATAATAATAAATAATATTTATATTTTAATTTTTTTATTTAATTTTAATTTTAAAATTTAAAATATTAATATTTTTTATTAGGTTGTTTTGTTACATCATATGTTATCAAAATCTATTATAAAAGCTAGACCCTCTGTACTTTGGTGTTATAAGAAAGAATTAGGATTTAGTAGTCACAGAAAAAAAAAAATGAAATCCTTACAAAAAAAAGTTAAATCAGGAAAGTTGGATGTTAATGAAGATGATCCATTTGAATTATTCGTTGTTTCTACTAATATACGATATTGTTATTATCATGAAACACATAGAATATTAGGAAATACATATGGCATGTGTGTTTTACAAGTAAGATTCTTTATTTGTTTTGATTTAATAAATATAATTAATTTAATTTTATTTTAAATATAATTAGCAAAAAATTAATTTTTAGGATTTTGAAGCTCTTACACCAAATTTATTAGCACGTACTATTGAAACTGTTGAAGGAGGAGGACTGATAATATTTTTATTACAATCAGTAAATTCTTTAAAACAACTATATACTATGAATATGGATGTTCATCAAAGATTTCGTACAGAAGCACATCAAGTATATTATTCATTTTTTTCTACTAATTTAAAGATAGATTTTATTAATTATAAATTTAATTTTAATTAATTTATTTAAATTTAAGAAATAACTTTAAAAATTAATTTTTTAATATTTTATTTTAGAATATTATTGGTCGATTCAATGAAAGATTTTTACTGTCTCTTGCTTCATGTAAAAGATGTTTGGTTGTTGATGATCAATTAAATGTATTACCTTTGTCATCACATAATTTAAAAATTGAACCTATACAAAAATTATCTTCTTCTGAAACATTATCAGAATTAGATACATTAAAAGAGAGTTTAAAAGATACACAACCTATTTCTTCTCTTGTTAATTGCTGCAAGACACTTGATCAGGTTTAATACTAAAAAATATATTAAATATATTTATATG